CATCATTTCTGAATCTTTCCCGCAATGCCCTTTGTTGCCCAATTGCCTGTGGCCGGCAGATCCCAAGCCTTATTAGGTCTCTGACCTCAGAATTCTCCACCCTCCTGGTGGACACATTGTGTGGAGCATTACAGACTGTGGATGACAGAGACAGCCCATCGCTGCAGCCATGATGTCCGTCTGTCTCGTCCAAGGCTTCTCTTCTGCTCCTCGACTTTACCCAGCAGGGTGTCACTGGCCTCTCCTGACCTGCGCCCACCGTCTGTGAGGCGAGGACTTGCCACCCTCTCTTCTGAGGAGCATTCTGAGTGCACTTCTCCCAAGCAGGCTTGTTTGTTCTCGGGCAACCCCCGCACGTTCAGTATTCCTCGACAGCACCAGGATGCAGATGCATGGATTCTTCCCGGTCTTCCTTCGTCAATAGCTAACTTTCACAAGCATATTATGACTGGGGTCGGGCGCACTGTAGTTTTTAAAGTAACCTCCTTGCTCTTCAGCGCTCTAAAGAGGTCTCGTGCAGATTTGTCCAGGGCAGCGCGTGTTTGAGCTCTTGGCTGCTGCTTCCTTGAGCGTTGACTGTGGGTCCAATCACAACTTCAGCCTGTCCTCTGTTTAGCATGCTGCCCCCTGCGGGTCCAGTGGTGAGGATGTTGGTCTTCTTGACACTGAGCTGTGGTCCATCCTGCAGGCTGCCATCTTCCATCTTCCTCCACAAAGGCTTCAAGTTCTTCTCAGTGTGAGCCAGCAAGGGGGTGTCACGTGCATGCCACAGGCTGCCCATAGGCCTTCCTCCCACCTGACGCACATTCCTCCTCACACGGTTCGCTTAGCATGCAGGTTGAACAGGTATAGTGAGGTTGTGCAACCCGGAGGCACGCCTTTCCTGATATTGGACCATGCAGCATTCCCGGCTCTCTGAGTAACTTCCTCTCGGTCCATGTGCAGGTTCCAGTGAGCACGCTTTTTAAGTGTTCTGGAATGCTATCCATGAAGGCACAGGCCGTCCACCACTGAGGAGTTAGCCACTGAGCATATCTAGCTAGTCACTGCTAGCCACTGCTGACTAGCAGCCGAGCACGGTCCAATACAGCGCCGGGAGATGAGCCCTCCGGTGGGCCGGCACTCTCAGGGTGACTGAGTCGACCTCAATGATGTGGACCGAGCAAGAGCTTCCGGGACCTCCATGTGCTGGTGGGGCAAGATTCACCAAGAGAAGAAACCGCCGTAAACAGCTACTACTCACTGGGACTGGGAATGGACAATGTATGAATCTAGGAAAACTGGAAGTTGTCGACCATGAAATGGGGAATCGGTATCCTGGGCATCATGGGCTGACATACAGGTAGTAGGTGGAGGTGAGCTTCTCTGTGTGCGTTTGCAGAGAGAAGCGGCACTGACGTACGGGTATGTGTAGGCACATACAGGCAGAGGAGACGCCACCGGGGACACTGCTCAGGTGGAGCCACACACCGAGAAACATGGGGTTCCTCGGTTTCGAAGGCGTGGGGCAATTCGGTTGGTGGGCGCAGCTCCTGCTCTTCGTCCCAGTGCCATGAGGCACAGCTGGTGTCCTGGAAGCTGTCCAGCGGCTGTCTGAGATAGGGCCATTGCTCTCTGCTTCTCAGGAGCAAAAGAATCAGAAGGACACCATGTCTCAGGGAAGACACTGGCCTGCATGCCACAAGGCTAGTCCCGCCTCGACCTAGGGCCTCATCTGATGCTTCCCTGAGGCCAGAGGGGCTAGATGGTGCCCAGCCCCCACTCCCGATCACTTTGATTAGGGCCTCGGTAGACGCCCACCCCCCACCCCACCATGAAAGGGAGAGAAATGCAGACCAGAGCCGGAGTTCTTAAGAAGTGCAGGCTTCCTGGGCCAGGTGAGGCCACCGGGTCCTGAGACCACTGCCCAGAGATGCTTTGTGAACGTGGACCCTACATGACTCCCTGATGTCACTCTTTAGCAAGATGGCAGAGCGGCCCACAAAGAAAGGCTTTGCCCATGAGTATGCGGGTGATGTCCCAGGAAAGGGGGAAAATTAAAGATGGTTAGGTCTGAGAAGGGGCTTCAATGAGGTGAGAGACAGTGAACGAGAATGGAATTTTCCCAGGAACGTTTTGAAGTCCCTCACAGGACAGGACCAGAAGGTCAACAGCCCAGCTGGGGAGAGATGAGAGGATTGGGGGGTGGGGGGCTTGTCAGGGAAACTAGGGACGGGACAAGAACAAGCAGGATGCAACCAGAGAGGAAGCTGACCGGTTGGGAGAGGCGTCATGAAGCCCCTGAATGATCTGTGGAGACGCTGTCCGACCTGAGCCTCGTTCACCTTTTCACCACCCACACGACAGTCACTGCTTGTGGCAGAGGCAGGAAGAAAATCGTCTTGGGGGCGTGTCCCTCTGTAATTGGACGAAAAGCAGGACTCCCGCTGCCCGGCAGACGGTCTTGGCGTAGTTAGGACTGGCACTGGCCCTTCTCTTCCCAGTCAATGTGTGTGAGCGGCACGCGTGCACGGATGTGCGGGGTGGGGGTGAGGACAAGTGACCAGGGAAGAACTCGAATCGAAGGCCCCGGCTCCATGGAGACAGGAGTGACTATTTCCACTGTCCACGTGACAGACTTGTCGGGCGTGCGTGTCCTCGGCAGACAGCTCTGCTCTGCGCTCATCAGCCGACGGCCACACGACTGTGTCTCTCAGCCACAGGCCTGAGTCCACGGCCGCACGACTGTGTCTCTCAGCCACGGGCCTGAGTCCACGGCCGCACGACTGTGTCTCTCAGCCACGGGCCCGAGTCCACAGCCCTCGAGCATGCTGTACTCCACTGAGAGGCACTGTGCACAGAGAACTCTCTTACCCCCACCCCCATCACGTCATCCGGGGGCATCGTCTGCGTTGTGGCGAAGCTGACCCCAGACAGGAGCCGGCCAGAGGAGGCGCAGTCCCGTGTCTGAACACCAGCTCCGGCTCTTCCCTGAAATGCACTTTGCAGAAAAAGTGAATATTTAATCAGCGTTGCTCTGGGGTGGACGCTGAGGGGGTCATTAAGGTATCTTCTTGGCAGAGGGAGCGTGATGCGAGTCTGCCGGGCATCGGAAGAGCCGCAGGAGGCGGGCTGGAGGTGTCTGGGCAGCTCAGCACCCAGGATGCACTCCCATTACAGCCAGCGCTTGTCCAGCACCCACACAGTCTTCCCTGAAGAAAAGCAGGAGGGTCAACATCCGGAGCCTCAGTTTCCCTCCAACACACGGCGTGTCTCACAACCAAACAGCAGTGTTTGAGAGTGAAAGTTCCTGCAGCCTGACCACAGAGCCCCAGGCGGCCGGTGGTGATTGTCAATGATGCCGGCCTCTGGGCCTGACCTGCCAAACTGCCAGGTGGCTCTGGCCCCACAGTGACATGGTGTTGGGGGAGGGCAAGAGATGAGATTGGCCAAAGGGGTGGTTACAACAGAAAGTTGCTCACCAAGAGGCCAGGACAGGCCAAGTTCAGAGATGAGAACACAGCCTGTGAGCCCAGGAGTCTGCCCCATGAGTCCATGCTACAAGGCCCCCAGCAGACACCCACCTGGTCAGGGTGCACCCTTAGCCTGCCCCAGCTCACCACCACCTCGGTGAAGCAGGCCCACGGGACCTGCCCTCTCTGGCCTTGTCCCAGCCCCATGGCGTGTCTCTTAGACCCTGGCCCAGCTGTTGGCTGTGCACCAGTTCACTCCCTGATCCAGGAAAAGCCCTGCAGGGGACTCAGCAGGTGACCTGCTTCCTGACCTGGTCACCTCACAGCAGGCCTGCATGTGACTGCTCTCCCAGGCTGGCAGGGTGATGGGGCAGCAGAGCCCCTGTGGGGAGGGCAGCTGGGAAGTGGGAACGGCCCCAGCTGGAGAAACACCATCCTGCTGGGGAAATGAGGGCCATCCCCAGACGCATGCCCTCCCTGCCCCTGCGTTACCTGCCGTCTGCTTCCTCTGCTCCTCAAACAGGTCGGCGGAGCTGATGGAGGAGCTGGCCGACAGCCGTTCCAGCCGCGCTCGGGTTTCGTACTAGAGAGAGGAGCCCACAGGCGTGAGACAGACGTTCTTCCTGTGGAAAAACCACTGCAGAGCCCCGGCCCCTCTTCAACAGTAACTGGAGGCCCCCCCCACCCCCCCCAGGATGCAGCCTGGGAGCCTCACACACTGGGGCCCCAGCCTCAGGAAGCTCATACCTGTCTCGGGACAGACAGGTGGATGTGCAGCACCTGGGGGGATACCAGAGAGGGAAGGAGAGGCCACCTTGGGTCTCAGCTGGCAGGAAGGCCCTATCACGCTCGGAGCCCGTACCCAGTTGGCCTGAACTTGGGTACTGTCAACCTGAGAGGGGGCGATTCCGAGGGGCACGGTGGCCATCACGGGTAGCCTGAGGTTGCTAAGTGGGGGGAGGTCAGGAGAGAGCCTGTGAAGTGGAGAGGGAGAGAGCCGGGCCTGGCTGTGTCTGAGTAAATTTGGCAAGTAGCCCACCATCTCTTCATCTTCAGATGGGGGGACACCAGGGCCGCCCTCCAGAGCCTGTCCACAGCGGTGGGGGTGCCAGTGGGCACTAGAAGCGCGCCTGGCCCACCCCCATGTCATCATCATTGTCTCCGCCCCCTGAAGATGATTCTACCTACTCCCCCAAACAGGCTCACGCTGCGGTCACACAACAGGAAAATCCAGCTGTAGACAACACCGTCTGACGTTCCCTCAGGAGCGTGTGAACAGCTGTCCAGACGTGGCAGGCACAGTCACAGGACCTGCCTTCCAGCCAGCTGGCCAGCATGACACACTTTGAACATAGCCCCCCCGCCCGCCCCCCCCACCCCAGTGCACCTTTCTCAGTCTCAGTCACTTCTTCTGGGGACCCTCCCCGCCCCCACAGCCCTGCTGGCTCTCTCGGTGGGGCCCGCACGGGACTCTCACATCAGCCTGCGCTTGTCTTCCAAAGTACATATCCGAAGAGATGGCCTTGGCGTTGCCAAACTTCCTCTGCGCCTCCTCTGTGCTCTCGGCGGGCTCGTGGTCCGGCTTGCGGCGGGCTGTGGGTCTGCAAGGAAAGAAGCAACATGGAGCCCAGCCCTGCTCATGTGTGTGTCTCACACACACACACACACACACACACACACACACGCACGCCAGTGTGCGCGTTACAAAGCCTGCGGCTGTTGTGTGGCCCAGGGACACCGGGGCGCTTTCAGAGCCTGACCATTCTACTAAGAAAAGGACATTCTAAAGACAGGATGTTGGCAGGAACGTCCCTGTTTCGGCTCCCTCGGGGGCCCTCAGAGGGGCTGTGTGCGTGTGGCACTGCTCCTGGGCCCCGGTTCAGACCGAGTGGATCCCATCGACTTCTGGCCCCCACGGGGTGCACACTGGATCTGAGCATCACAAGAACGACCCACTTGGCCTTCTTGCTTAGAGTTTAGCCAGGAGAGTTGTCTCACAGCAACAGAAAAAAACAGCCCCCAAAATCTGCAAACCTGCTGACCGGAAAACCAAGGTCACAGCAACCAGCTGTCACAAGAGCTGCCAAGGACCGACGGACAGCACACTTGCTTCCCGGCACAGATGGGAAGAATCCAGCGGAAAGGGCCAAGTGTGATGACGGCCAGGAGCCAGCACCCTCCCAGACCAGCTCTCCCCAGTGCTGCCGGGGGACCAGGAAGGCCCGCTGGCTGAGGGGAAGGGACAGGGAGAAGGCTAACCACACACAGTCCAGAATCCCACCCTCGTTTGCATCTGTGTTGGCACAAAACCGTGTATATGAGTACTGACGCTGACTTTACTCATGGTCCCCCTAAAAGCAGGGACCCCTGACGTGCTTCAGCCGGTAAGCGAGGAACTCAACAGTGAAGGGGACGGGACACACGCGCCATGAGGAGCTAGACAACCTCCAGCTCCAGGGGCCACTTCACGTAGAATCCCGTCCACAGGACAGGCGGGAGCACGGCACACGGGAAGGTCAGTGAGCCGAGCCGTGGCTGCCAGAGTTGAGTGGGCAGGCTGGGGTGCCATGGCTGCTACAATGGGGTCACGGGGAGTTTGGGGTTGACGCAAGTGTCCCGTCGTTTGATTCTGGTGGCAGTAACTGCACCATGTACACTGTGGAAACATGCGCAACTTAATCTGCGAAAGAGGGCTTTCCGCCATGTGAATAATAACAACGTGGTCTCTCCCTGTCTGAAGGAAAGCAAAGCCACAAGGAGGCGGCGAGTCCACAGGACCGAAAGGCCAATAGAGCCTCCCCTGGCCCGAGACCAGAACAAGCAGACGGTGCCCGGCTACCACTCCCAGGGGCTTGGCCTACAACCAGCCTGGGAGGGCCTGGGCAGAGTGGGAGAAATGCCAAACAAAATTGACAATCATGAAAACGACCAGGTTCGTTCCTCTGATAGAGACAGGTGGGACCCCAGAGACTGGCCCTTAGATGCTCTCAGAACCCACCCCCAGATCACCTTCTGGCCACCCAGCAGATGGCCTAGAGAGTGAGTAACGATGCCGGGCAGGACTGGGCTCCTCAGGGCCACGGATCACTCTGGACCGGGACCCAGCTCAGACGGCAGGCAGGTGGGGCAGGAAAGGAGGAAGTGAAAGAGGGAGCCCAGGAAAGAAGTGAATGCGTGCCTCTGAGGAAACCAGGCAACTGCAATGAACAATTAGGAAACAACAAACCATGGATACATCGTTGCACGGGAAATGGATTTGCTCTGCACACATTCGCCCAAACCGCAATACTTGAACAGAACACAGAAGTCTTTGGGCCACTTGAGACCACAGGACTCCCTGAGCGTATTGCTCTGAGACTCCTGAACCAGACGTTGAACCCAGGTTATCCCGTGCCCACCTTAGAGAGAAATGACCCATCACTGCCCAAAATAAAGACCGTCGTCCGTGCACTGAGCTACCGGGCTCCAGTCTTAAGCCATCTCGTGAGATCCAAAGGCCAATGCTGTGCAGCAAAGGTAAGAACACGGGGAGGCTGGGAACACCGGACCCGGAGACAGAACCCATAGAGCACAATCAAGGAGAAGGCGGACACGTCATGGGAAAGGGGACTCAGCTCACGGAGCAATTTGGGCAGAAACGGTCAAATGGAGACCTTCACAGAAAGACAAGGAAATGCATGTCTACTTTAAAGGGGGTGCTCCTGTACGTGGCCCCCTGGACCTGTGTGTGGTGTCAGTCTCGCCAGGGAAAAAAAGCCCAGGCACGCCGGGCTCTCCCACGCTCCAGACGACTCTGACGTGCCTCCTCTGATTCAGAAATACGTGTGTCACACGAAAAGGAAATTCAAAACCATTCCCTAGTCTAAGAGAGGTTGGCATGTCCCATGCGGGTCACTGTTTTTCTGTAGAGACGAGAGAGTTGACGCTGAACACGTCTGTCCATACCTGTCTGAACAGCCTGTGGTTTTCAGAACGGAATCCGTGTCCTTGGTGGTCTCTTGTTTCCAAAAGGAGTCGGCACTGTCCTCCCAGCTGGAAAAGGAGCTGCTCCGTAACTCCGCCGGCTCGTCAAAGTACCTGCATGGGCAAGAGGAAGCCGGTTGTGTTTGGATTTCCTCTGCTTCCTGAGGTTAGGAGTGACCATGTGACTCCATGTGGCCAATGAAACAGAGGCAGGCGCAGGCATGCTGTTACCAAAGCACCCCTGCCCACAAAGCACCCAGGCCACATGCACAGCACAAAGCAGGCGGTGTCGTCCAGGTGTCCACCAGCCTGGACAACTGTGGTGCACTCGGGGGACACGTGCTCTGGTCCCCACAGTGGACAATACATGAGCAAGAGATCAACCACTCTTGTGACAAACCGTGGAGGTTTGGGGGATGTTTTTACGGCATCCCAACCTAGCTACTCGGGCAGCATGGGCCAGCTTCAAGTGCTGTCCATCCTGGATGGATGTACCCCATTGTCTGGGTGGCATCCATCCCAGCTTGACACATCCCATTGTCTGTGGGTCTACGTCTGCCCAATTGTTATTGTTGTGTGCCGTGCAGTTGCTCCTGACCTGCAGGGACTCTACATGACAGAGTGCAGCTGTCCCATGGGAGTTCTTCAAACCTCAAACCAGAGCCACGGCCATCGAGTCAATGCCTCATTCACAGCTATGGATTTCCGAAGCTTTGTGAATCTTTACGGGAGTAGACAGCCTCGCCTCTCTCCCAAGGAGCGAGTGGTAGGTTTGAACTGCTGATCTCAAGTTAGCAGCTACCCTGCTCCTTACTGGGGGTCACAACTAATGCTCTGAGCCTGGAGAGCGGAGCCCGCTCAAGGAGCTGACTGCTGGCCGTCGATCCCATGTGAAGCATGGCTTAAGGAGCCAAGGGTCAACTCAAATTCAGACTGCCACCACGTCAATTCTGACTCATGGCAGCACTATAGGACAGGGTAGCACCCCACCTCTGTGGGTTTCTGAGACTAAAACTCTTTACGGGAGCAGACAGCTACATCTTTCTCCCGAGGAGCGCCTGGCGGTGAAGTACCGCTTAATGCAAGTGATGCTGAATAGCCTCCCGTGGAACCAGATACATTTGTTTCTGCCCCTTCACTCACTCTGTCTGCTCCAGGCCTGGAAACACCCCTTAAGATCCCTCGATAGAGAGCTTTAATGTCAGTCACCTCCACCCGCCTGCCCGTGTGTCCTGTGGTGACTTGCATGTGGCTGTGATGCCGGGAGCTATGCCGCTGGGGCGCCAAATGCCAGCAGGTTGGCTCACGGGGCACAGGTTTTGGCAGAGCTTCCAGACGAACGAAAGACTAGAAAGACGGCCGAGGCCTCACTTGGGAAGCAGCAGACAGGGAGCCAGAAGAGGAGGCCTGGGAGGCCTCCGACTGCAAGTTCCACCGGGGACGAGCTGCCGCCTCGGAGCCGAGTGGACACAATGACAGGAAGGGGCCAAGTGTTCGGAACCTTCGATGGCTGGTGGGACAGGCCCCCAGAGTGACCAGAAACAGCTGTCAACATCCATTAGAATGGAAACATGGACTGTACCCTGTAGGGGAGCCGGACGTCATCAAGATCAGTAATACCCCTGGCAGCAGTGAGTGGGGATGGACCAGTATTGGCCACTTTGAATCAGACAATCATTTGGTTTGCACTATGTCAGGTGGTACATTTATTACCTGCTTTCTAACGACATGTCTTAGTCTGGCAGACACGCTTCTGCTCTGTGAATGAGTGCTACTGAAAGCTCAGCACTGTCACTAACCCCCACTGTGTGTGTAAATAGTGTCTGGCACCTAAGCGGTTAATCTATGCACACCAACGATTCATGTATTGCAGTCTGAAAAGGCAGCCTACATATGTGTGGTTTCCTTTCCTCAACAGGGTTTAAAATCCCATACCATTGGCTAAATTAATAACACTATCAATATAAGAAGTTTTAGGTTTACCCAGAGGTATGATTGATAATGTTCTCTATCATAAAATGATAACAATGTCTCTAAAATGAACCAGAGACACATATAAGCCAAAAATACATGAATAGATTTTGAGATCACCCTTAATTCTACCCCCAATCTAAGAATAGTTAGTTCTCATGGCATGGTCCGACTTGATACTTGCCCTGCTGCAGAGATCACAGAGGATATGGGGGCTGTAGCAAAGTGTGGTGAAGAAACCAGGTGGTTTCTTTGGGAAGAAGAAATAATTGTGTCTGGGGTCTTAAAAGCTTGTCTTAATACAAGCACCTGTCTAAGTGAGGAATCAACTAAGTCCACACAGAAAAAGCACAACAGCCTGTATGATCCAAGGATTGTAAATAATAAAGGTCGGACACTGAATAAGGGAGACAAATCTATCTGGGAGGAAGTACAGCCAGAATGCTCCTTTGAGGCAAGTACAGTGAGACTTCGTCTTATAGACTGGACACGTCATCAGGAGAGACCAGTCTCTAAGATAGGACATCTAGCTTGGTAAAATAAAGGGTGAGGCTACGACAATGGACTCAAGCAGGGGACAGTTGTGAGCCTGTTGAGCACAGGGGTGCTAGGGGTCAGAGGCAGACTCTAAGAACAACAGACAGAGAACTGATTATGGCAGAGGTAGGGTGTTAGGTTCAAATGTAACACCCTATCCTTTAATCTCTCTTCTGGCCCATTGAAAAGTTTACTTTGTCACCACCACCCCCCAACAGTTTTATTGGCAATTGATTTACATAGCGTGTAATTCAACAGATCAACCATTCAGTCATGAGGAATTATACAATCCCCCCCCACCACACATCTCTTGTTTTGCTTTGTTTGCTTGTGTCTTGCATTTGCTATGCAATCCAGTTCAGGTAAACCTACGGAGACACAAACTGGATTGACAGCTACCCGGCCCGGGCAGGGGAGGTTGGGAGAAATGGGCGCTAACAAGGAGCCCGGGAAGAAGAGGCTCTGGGATGGGTCGTGGTGAGAACTGCACAACTCTTCTTAAGATAGCTGAATTGTTAAACTGCATGCTTTGTGAATGATATCCTGATAAAATTATTTCTTAAAAGTTAGAACTATTTGTGACAGGATCCTTTCCACGTGTCTACAAGCAAGACTCGTTAATCCAACTCTGTTTCAAATTTATGCACCACCCACTAAAGCCAAGGATTAAACATGCAACTGAGGTGCACTGATAATCACTGGTCATTGGTATGCAGAAGTTTGGCTCCAGAGTGGGAAGATACAATCCCAGTGGTAGAAATAAAGCTGGATACAATATGGCAGAAGTTTGCAAACCAATGACTTCATGACGAATACGCATTTTTTAACAACATCAAAGGCCTTGTTCCAACAACCTGTTGAGACCTGGTGCACCAGGAGAAGGTCTAGGGGTGCAGAGGCAAGCCTTGCCCGAGGCCATTAATAAGAGGGAACCAATTACAAGGAACTATATGTGACCTCCTCCCTGGGGGACAGACAACCAAAAAGTGGGTGAAGGGAGACGTCGGACAGGGCAAGATATGACAAAATACCCATTTATAAACTATCAAGGGCTCATGGGGGAGGGGGGAGCAGGGAGGGAGGGGAAAAATGAGGACCTGATGCCAGGGGTTTAAGTGGAGAGGAAATATTTTGAGAATGATGAGGGCAATGAATGTACAAATGCGTTTTACACAATTGATGTGTGTATGGATTGTGATGAGTTGTATGAGCCCCTAATAAAATGATTAAAAACAAAAAGCCAGCATATCCTAAAATGGCACTGAAGTGGCACCCCGAGAATAAGAAGGAAGCAACAGGCCTGGGAGGCGGCCTCACATGCCAAATGGGAGCTCTACAGCAGATCTGGTGAAGGCGGCTTCAGTGGCGGAGGTGGGGGCAAAAGTCACGTGGACAGACCGGGTGAGCATGGCTTCCGGTTCCGTAATCCAAATGAGGTCCTCAGGGAATTTTTGGTGGAAGGGACCCAATTTTCACTTTCTGTGGACCCATCTGAGAATTTGGGGGGGAGGGCGTCGCAGAGGGGGCTGACGGGAAGGCGCACGGCCCTGTTTCTCTGCCCTCAGTGGGTCCCCACCTTTGGGAGGTGGGTTTCTACTTCTGATCCAGGGTTGTCTGTTTTATCTGGCCCATCGTCGAGGGCGTCTTCCACATCGCGTGGCGGTGGTGGCATGGTGACTTCGTCTGAAGAGGATGGGCAGCTGAAGTCTTGGACAATCAACACTAAGGAGTGGCTGCTGCGCTTGGGAAACAAGTAAGTCAACACGCACATTGGACAGGGGCGTTCAGCTCCCACCAGCACCATTCGAAGGTTAACAGGGACGGTTTCTGAAGATTTCAAATAAGCTCTCCTTTCAGGAGCCATGTACCCAGTTTGATAAGCAGCTCGGCGGAGCCCTTATTTGCCAGTGACTTTTGAGTTTATTCTTGGGACTCCATGAAGAACAAGACCATTTTTTAAAAATTGCTGTGAATTTATGAATGCACCTTGTTTGTTTTATTTTCATCCAACCTAATCCCAGGTGAACTGTGACTCTTTGGACGAGCCGGGAGGAATCGCGTGCTAGCACCAGCGTGGAGCTTGTGTGTTCCGTCGTGTTTGAAGTGTGAGCCAGTAGCTTCAGTCGCTTGTGACGTGAACATGCCAGGAGGAAATCTCCAGACAAAAAAGAATTTCCTTTTTTCCCTCCTTGATATTGAGTAGTGAAAGACATCAGAACTTTAATGGCAGTAGATTTCGGGCTTCATTTGAATTAAGGATGTTTTCTAGTTGAGCTCGAATGTTAGAGACTTAGCAAGTCTTGAAATTTGTTTAGATGTGTAATGTTGAGCTTAGGTTTAAAAGCAAAGGTTGTTAGAAAAAATAAAAGCAGAGGTAGTAAAATGGGTCTTTGACATTTGCTTTAAAAAATTAAAAATGCTAATATGTTTGATGCATTCTTTCATGGAGGAAAAGGAAAGAACTGAAGAAAGAAACCTGGGCCTGAATTCAATACTGAAGGATTCTATGGGCAAAATAACTTAATGATGCAGGAAGCATCAAGAGAAGATGGAAGGAGTCCACGGAGGCACGGTGACAAAAAGAATTGGTTGCTGTCCTCCATTCC